CCCACGTATTTAGTCATGAACGTGACTAAAGCCACAGACTTCTGTTTTGACTTTACTAGTTCTGAATAGATAAGTTATCTATTCAGATACATTATCTTTTCCTTAACCTAGTAAGGAATTACAGAAGAACTTGACATAGTTTTTGGTGAATATTTGGTAATTATTTATCCCATTCAAATATTTTTAAAAGTTCTTGAGCAGTAACTGCTCCCCAAGATTCCTAAGTGTTCCAGTTGTGCTTACCAACCAACAAATACCAAGGTAAACCCACTTGTTTCCTTTCTCTGTATATTTAATATACAGTTGGATTATGGGTTCTTATAAATAAGACTATTATTAACAAAAGTAACTTTAAATATTAAACCTAAGCACAATTTAAAAGATGAATCAATTAAAGATGAAATTCCTACTTCTCTCACACCTAAAAAGAAATACAAATGCCGAGACACTGCATTTGTCTTTTCAAGTCTGCCATTGGGATGAAATTCATTGTCTGCTGCTAAATCACTGGTGGTGCACAACAGCAGCAGGTCAGCAGCCCAAGAGCAGGTGGAAGCCAAAAGCAAGGGATCATGGAGAATGCCCAGGGGCATCTGAAGGGGAGGGCAAGACCATAAGAAAGAGTAGCTGAAGTCTGCAAACCCAGCCCCAGTAGAAGAGCCAGAGATAGCCAGTAGAAGCCCCAGTAGAAGAGCCTGACAGTCACCCRAGGGAGGGTTTAGCACACAGCAGCCCCACCTCCAGCCAGACACTACCCAGAGGAACAGAACCTGGCCATGGAGACTTCATTCTCCCAWGAAGAGTCCTGGCACCTGTGACATGTAAAACAGAAAGACTGAGTGGAACCAGAAGTTGTACTGAACAACTCCTGGATCATCTGGCTATAGTTTCAAAAGAATTAGAGAACTAAAACCAACACAGGCCTCAGACCTGTCTGTCCTCACCTCTCCTATTCTCTCTCACTGATGAAAATTTAAAACCATTGTCTTTTATTTAACAAATATTTCTTAAGCTCCACCTACAAGCTAGAGATCACACTATAAGTTTTAAAAATACAATACAGTGAATTGTGCGTGGTCTCTTACTTTTTGAAGTTTTCAGTTTAATAGGAGTCATCCTTGCTCTTCTCTCTCTTTTTAAACCCAATTTTGTAATCTTTGAGCTGCAGAAAGATCAATTCCAATGGAGATACCATTTATTCTGAGTGTCTTATTCTGCACTGTTTCTGAAGGATGTGACTGATTAGGAAAGCTCATCTGAAACCTAGGCATCCCTCATTAGGAGTTGTTAAGCCTTGGAGAACTTGTAAAATGATCTCAGAAATGTAAAACCCAGGTGAATCACCTTCCTGTTTTAACCACTTCTCCCCTACTACTGCTTCATGTTAAATTTGTGCCATGGTACTATGGTACTGATAGAAATTATGGAGATGGCAACCAGAATCTCCTGTGCTTTTTTTTGCTCCTTAGTGATTTGAAGAGTACTTATAATCATTTAGACTATCATTTGTGTTTCACTGAATGTTGGATAATAAGTTTTAATTTCCACCTCAAAAGAAATGCAGAATTGCCAGGTGTTGTGGCACAAACCTGTGATCTAAGCTACTCGTAAGTCTTAGGCATAAGATCCAAAGTTCAGTTCAAAGCCAGCCTGGCTATTTGTGGAGATTRTCTTAAAAGTAAAATATCTGGGGATATAGCTCAGTGGGTGAGCACTTGCCTAGCATTCGCAAGGCCCTGGGTACCATCTCTAGTACAGAAAGAAAGAAAAAAAAAGATAAAAAGAAAAGAAATACAGAATTGGTCATGATGAGGATCAATCCAGATATAATCTAAAGACTTTTGAAAACATTTTTCATGATTGTAATAGGAGGACCAACAAAGTGAAAGACAGTACATAGAAAGAATTCTCTTCCTTTAGCCTTTGTGGTAAGGAATAGGAAGCACAGATGGATTATATATGTCCTGCTTCTGAAACAGTTAACTTGTTACTTGGTAAAACATTGTTGTATTCGTGAGCAGCTAGAGAGCAGGAGCCAAATGTCTTTTCCTTGCTTCTCAGTGCCTGATGGGTAATCAGCAATATTGGACCAAATAAGTGAGACTCCAGATTCTCTCTTAGAATTCCTTTCCAGATCAGCATACAGATGAGAGCTTGAGATCCAACAGTATTTGGAATGGGAACTTGTTTTTAGTCTGAGGTCAGAAACCTCCACAGCTGAGTACTTTGGATAATGAAGGTCCTTTTTCTATATTTGCCCAGCCTGGTCTGGACACAGGCACATGTCATACAATCTGCATTTAAACATTCTTTCCTTTCCATTTTAACAATGTTTATGTTTCCTGGGGCACATCTAAAAGTTTCAAAATATTTACCATATATTTCTACGCTTTTAAGAAAAAAAAAATATAGTTTTCACATGCAAGTTATTTTCAGCAGGCAGTTCCTTTCCTGAAGCACAAAAGGCTAGATAGAAAAACAAACAAGAGAGAGAATGTGCAGTTTTAACAAATGGGTCCTTAGAGATGAGTTTTAAAGCATGGGTTTTGTTTCCTGATCCAGCTTTTACCCTATCACTTCACAGCACTTACAGAAATCCTAAAATAAATCAGTAACATTTGCGCAGTTTTTAAGGCTGACAGTTTAAATTTTTTCCTGTTTTGTCTATTGCTGTGGCCAATGCAATTAGGTCATAGCCATGTGAAAAGTTAGTCGTACAAGAAAAAATTTGGATGTGTATGAGTGTTTTCAGGAAGATTTTTCTTCTGCTACTACTCACAACATCATTTGGACATGAAGCAAATTTACTTACCTAACTTAGAATATTGTTTCCAAAAGAACAAACAACCCTAATAAATAAATGGTAAATAAAAATGAAAACAAATGTTTATATGGTTTAGAGAAATGGCTTTCAAAAATATTTTTAGCAGATACACCATTGATTTTAATTTAATAATACCACAACCCAAGAAGGCATCATTTTGATAGAAAGGGGAGAAAGGCTTAAATTATTACAGTATTCCAGAAATGGCAGCAGAGATCAAATGCTAGTATGTGTACCTTTTGTACTGTCCTCTAATTTCATTTTACATAAAAATTATTTGCAATTCTTAAGCCTTGGGTGTTTTCTAATAGACTTTTTACTATTTATACCCATAGATAAAAGTTTCAGGTTCATGTTACTGGGGATGTAGCTCAGTGGTAGAACACGTGCTTAGCATATGCAAGTCCCTGGGTTTAGTTCCCAAAACAAGGGTGTTGGGGATTCAGGCTCACAAGTGTATTGTTGCTTCTACACTCTTAGAAATATTAGCAACCATAGGAGAGTACAGATTTCACAAAATGAAGACACTTATTCATGTTTTCCAAAAAATCTTGAGGTTAAGTCTTTGGTCTTTAATCAGCTGCATGTCTTGAGTATATCTTTGTGTATTGATTTAAGAATTCTGCATCCAAAAAGTAAAACACCAGGATGAACAGATACAAAAGGCACGATTTAACACATTTATTGGCTGATTGTAAAGGTCAAAATTACCAAGCTTTATAGAAGCACCATTACAAGTATACAGTGGAACCCTTGTAGAAATCATGAAGGAGAGCCAGTGTGGAATGTCTAGAACACAAATGCAGAATGTGAATTGCTATCTGTGACGTCAGCATAGACATTGTCAAGAGTTTGATCAGATTGCAAAAGAATTTAAAGGGCCGGCAGCTCTCGAAGAATGCATAAGATAGCTTTATTATTCTTACATAACATGTACTGAGAAGCAAGGCATGCTAAATATTAAGCAATCCAATGAATTCCTCGGAGTCCCTACCCAGTGATTGTACTTCCAAATGCGATAAGTAGGTGAGACACACAAAGGAAATTAGGAGGCTCAGTTAATACTGCCCTTCCAGATATTTACAATGTGAGTGGAGCATTTGGTACTCCCACTTCAACCATTTTACTAAGAGAGAGGGTGAGAGAAAGTGAGATAGATGGGAAAAGATGGTCATTTTATAGAAGGCAAAAGATTTGCTTGCTTTTTTTTCCCCTCCCTTATTTAAAACTTTGTTCTTTCATTAGTAACCTTGGAAAGAGAAATAYACATTAAGACTCAGAGCAAGACAGAGACTCCAAAATACATGGTTTTCCCCTACCTCCTTTGTAGAGGTTACAGCAGAGTTTAAAACAAGCCAGCCCCACTCCAGCTCTTGCCACAACCTAGTCTTTACMTATGGGTTCCAATCACATTGGCTGGAAACTGGCTTCACTTCATCCAAGGGCCTAGTTGGAAGGGTATTCATGGCTTCCCCAAGTTTGAGCATTCCTGGCTTTTGCCACTGGTGCTGCCACTCAGCCAGGGATTGAAGCATCCACTTGATCTGGGGCTCAACAAGTGGGAGCCATAAACCACGACCTTAGGGGATCTGAAGATTCCAGAGCCTTCTGCTAGAGCATGGCCTTCCTCACTTGCTTACTGTAAGGGATTCAAGATCCATGCAGATCGAGCAGGGCTTCCAGCAGTTGCATTTGGACCTGAAACATCACTGGATCTCTCAGGTCTTCCAGAACTTTCACCCACAGTGGAATAGCTTCACATTTTGGAAATGCTCCCATCTTGAGTTCCTGGAAACCAACCACTGTCTTGCGGAGGCGAGTCCTAACCATGCCAAGAGGTTTGTTTTCTAAAGCAAAATGTACACAGCTAATTAGAAATACCTCTACCATTCTATCTACTTTCATGTATTTGTAGGGCTTATATTTTAACCAAGATAGAAAGCTATTTTATCAGTGAAAAGTGAGTTCTCCTAAAGGACATTGATGAACGTTTTGTGACATTTGGATTTACAGTGGCCTCTTGCTATACTGCTAACATGTTCTAGAATTCTTGGCTTTTCATAGAATTTGGAGAACATTTGTAGAAAATCAATTCTGCATGCAAATGTGTTTATTCTCCAGTGTAAWGGCAGAACTTCCTTTGACATATTAATGTTTTTTTTTTTTTCTTTTGCAGGGACTTTATGTTTTTGTGGTCTATTTCATTCTACACAACCAAATGTGTTGCCCTATGAAGGCCAGCTATACCGTGGAAATGAATGGCCACCCAGGACCCAGCACAGCCTTCTTCACCCCAGGGAGTGGAATGCCTCCTGCTGGGGGTGAAATCAGCAAGTCCACCCAGAATCTTATCAGTGCTATGGAAGAGGTGTGCTTATCCCCACCCCCCATTGATAGCCTCCTTATGTCAAAAAAATTATAAGATAAATGATGCTTGACAACTTTTATATCCTTTACCTGTTGACATCCTCTGTTTTCTGGTCCTTTCTTTCCTCAGGGTAGTAGTAACATACTTGTTACATAATTCTTCTTCTTCTTCCCTACACTGTGATCTATACTGTCTAGTAATTTGTAATGAGAAGTCAAGGACAGCAAAATTTAACATCTCCTTCTTCAAGATCTTTTTTAATTTGATATGGCAGTGAGTGAGTCCTCCTAAGAAGTAATTTATAAAATAGTATTTCTCCTAAAAATGTTTCCACAGTTTTCCTCCTTCACCCAAACACTCAGTGAAAAGAAAATAAGCTGAAATTTCTTTCACCTTAAAGACTAGAAAATATTTTAGAACGAAGAAGGTTCAGAACCAGTGCTTCTGGGGCACTACTGAAAAGTCCAGCCAGGATTTCATCTATAAAATCTACCTCCTGCAGCTCTCTGCATTCTGTCCACATCAGTTTGATTTCCTGTGTCTGAATCACATTGCCACTAACCTGTCATACAATCCATAGCATGAGGCCACTGCTCAGATTTTAAGGCAAACCTGGATACATCTAGCCAGGAAGGGATGGTAATGCACATCCATGACAATCTCTGTGGGGCCTGAGATGTTCTTGGCTATCATTCCTCATGCAGCACATATTGCCCTCTCTGTATTAAGAAGCCAAGGGAAATGGCATTTGTCTTTGTGTCCTGCAAAATAACAGGAATCCAAAATATGTTTCTCTGAAAGGAAAACAGCTTATTGATCAAGCAATAGGAAAGAGGGAGGGAGAGAGGGAAATAGATAGGTGATCCACCTGCCCAGAGACATTTTTTTGGTCCTCCATGGCAATTTAGAAAGTAATTTTATTCCTGTCAGGTTAAAATTAAAGTAAATGATCACAAGTCAAATTGTATTTGTATATAAAATGTGTATATATATATATATATATATATATATATATATATATTATATATATATATATATATACATGTGTATATGTATATTGTGTGTATATGTATATATATATATATATATATATATATATATATTTGAAACAAAGGAAATTTCATGTAAAGAATTATTAACTGATATTAGGAAAACAGTAAAAAAGATGTGTGCCAGGGCTGTGGGTGGGGAAAATAGAGAGATATTTTGATCAAAGGGTACACATTTTAGCTATAAGATGAGTAAGTTCAAATATAATATTTAAAATTTGAGATAAGGTTATAGAACCTCTAAATATTTGGAAATCTAGTACCATTTCTGTATCCCAAAAGTTCTTTAAAAAATAGAATTATTTCATCAAAATTGACACCAAAAAAACAGATATTTTTATAATGAAAAGTTCAGAAATGAATCTTTAATAACTTTTTTTTTTGTTTTTGCAAATGATTAGCTGATCTAACATTTATCTAGATATGAACACTCATAGAAAATAGCCATTATCTGCATGTGGCTATTTAAATTTAAACTAAAATTTTAAAACACTAAAGATTCGATTTATCTTTCACCCTGTCCACATTTTAAGTGCTAACAACCATGTGTCTGGTAGCTTTAGGTATTCGAGAACATAGACATAAATAATTTGTATCATGGCAGAAAGTTCTTTTGGACAGTGCTCATCAAGATGATCAACTTCACATTAAAAATTTTAAGGAATCATCTCCTTTCAGTGTACTTTTTTTTTTTKGTACTGGGGATTAACTCAGGAGCATTTTACCACTGAGCTGAGCCATATCCCCTTTTTGTTTTGTTTTGTTTTGTTTATTTTGAGGAAGTATCTCACCACATTGCTGAGGGCCTCACTAAGTTGAGGCCTCACTAAATTGCTGAGGCTGGCCTTGAACTTGCAATCCTATCTCAGTCTCCCAAGCTGCTGGGATTGCAGGCATATGCCACCAAGCCAGGCTTCTTTCAGTGTAATTTCTAAAGTCCTCTGGTCATTTTTCTCAGAATAAAGTACCCCTACAGTCTCTCAGAAAACCTTATGCTAAAAGAACTGATTGCATTTCTTCATAGAAGAAGAAATGCAATCAGTCGTCCAATATATGAGAAAATGTTCAATACCTCTAGTAATTAGAGAAATGAAAATTAAAACTACTCTGAGATTTCATCTCATCCCAGTCAGAATGGCAATTATCAAGAATACAAGTAACAATAAATCTTGGCAAGGATGTGGGGGGAAAGGTACACTCATACATTGCTGGTGGGACTGACAATTGCTATAACCACTCTGGAAAACTTGGAATGGRACCACCATTTGACCTAGTTATTCCACTCTTCTGCATATACCCAAAGGGCTTAAAATCAGCRTACCATAGTAAGGCAGCCAAATCAATGTTTATAGCAGCTCAACTCACAATAGTAAACTATGGATTCCAACCTAGATGTCCTTCCACAGATATTTGGATAAAGAAAATGTGATATATATATATCAAATTATCATATATAAATAAGAAAGAATGAAGCATACTCCAACTAAAGTATACACACACACACACAGGAATATTTCTCAGCCATAAAGAAGAAGAAGAAAATTATGGCATTTGCTGGTAAATGGATGGAACTGGAGACTATCATGCTAAATGAAATAAACCAATCCTCAAAAAACCAAAGGCTGAATGTTCTCTCTGATACGCTAACTCACAATAAACAGGGGAGAGRAAGTTCACTGGATTAGACAAAGGGGAATGAAGTTAAGGGATAGGGATTTGAATAGGAAAGACAGTAGAATGAATTAGACATAACTTTTGTATGTTCATATATGAATACACTACCAGTGGAACTCCACATGGTGTACACCCACAAAAATGGGAAGTTATACTCTGTGTATGTATGTCAAAATATATTCTACTTTTATGTATGACTGAAAACAAAAAAAAATTTTTTTAAATCTTATCCTAGTAAGCAGCAGCTGTGATGGTCCAATTCCTGGGCTAGAGCCACTGCTAGAGTGTTCATTGGGATGTTGCATAGCCACATAGCTCAATGTGTACTCTGCATTCCTCAGAGACTTGGAACTGGCCTTGATCCAGCTGTCTAGGAGGGACTGTCGGAGGCATTATAAAAAGACTTTCACAGAAGGAAAGCCTTGGAAAGGAAAGGAAGGATTAAGGAATTGTTTACCAGTAACATAGAGGAACATGAGTACATGTAAACATTTAATGATAGAACTTATTTTCTTAATCATTTAAATGAAAACAAGGAGGGGTTTAAAAAACATTTCTTTTTCAATTTAGTGTGTTCTTATAGATAACTACTATATTTAAAATGTATTTTAGATTAAAGATTAGGAGTAGTCTTTAATATGTATATGTACATAACAGAATTTCCTTCTGCACATCTTAAAAAATAATAAAGTATACTTATTAGATTAAAATTAGTGTTATTTCTGTATACATTACAGGACAGAAATCTACATGTAATTCTAATACAGAAATTATTTAAATCACCAGATTAGATTGATACAAGGAAAGACATAATTTCCTAAAGAATTAAGATAAAACTAAAGGTCTTAATTTAAAAATAATTCAGTAGCTATTTCACTAGGTCTTTATAATGAGATGTGGAAATAAATTGTTAATATGCATTTCAAAATGAATGTGAATGCATTCACATTACGGTTTCCTTTTCCCTTCATCCCAATTCAAAAGGTGCCACCTGACTGGGAGAGAGCGTCCTTCCAACAAGCCAGTCAGGCCAGCCCTGATTTGAAGACAAGTCCACAAAATGGAGCTACATTTCCTACTGCAGGATATGGCCAGGGGTCKTTGATAGCGGATGAAGAGTCACAGGAGTTTGATGACTTGATATTTGCATTAAAAACTGGTATGTATGAACCCACAAATTACATTAGAAGTAGGAACTCTTATATGATACTATTTTTATCTTCTCAAGAAGTGGCAACAGTACCATCAGTACCCTTAGCACATCCTGATTCTCGTGACCCTTTCCTAATCCCAGTTAAACTCTAGAATATTTTGTTCTTGGAACCAAATATAGCACAACCTAAAATAATATATAATTTGCTTTTAATAAAGAATGAGGCATACTCCAACTAAATGTAAATTTCTCTGTCCTATAATCTTGCTAAAACACCAAGATACTATTGAGTCAAGTTCTGTGTAAGATAGCTAGTAGAGATTTCACTGAGGGAATTTTGCCTCTGACCTGCCAAAAAGATCTTCTTGTGGAGTATTTTTCAAGCAGAATCTTGCAAAGGCAGCATAATGAGTGTTGTATAGTTCTATAGTTTTCAAAGTGCCATTACATACAGCATTTCATTGACCCTTTATTTCATTGTTCCTTTATATATACATATATATGTATATTATTTCATTGATCCTTTATATACACATGCACACACACACACACACACACACACACATACATACACACAAACACACACAGAGTTTCATTGCCCCTTATGTTTATATAAAGTGGCAATGAAACGCTGTATAGTCAATCCCACTCAACCTGTGACCCCAACGAGGAACTCTTACAGAGGACAGAAATGCAGTCCTAATCACCACAGTTTAGCAGTGTGTGATGCTAGAAATATGCTAAGTCACATGAAGGACCCTGGAAACATGATTAAAGGTCATGTGCTCTTCAGGAAACTAGTTAATGTGTATTCTTCTAGTGTCTACATGTTTAATTTATAGTATAGATATAGTAGATAATTCATTCATCAAAATTCTATTCTTAAAATATAATTGTGAGATAATTTTAGGTTTTTCAAACCTTATTGGTAACTTTTTTAAAGTTGTTTTTTAAATTTTTTTTAGTTGTTGATGGGCCTTTATTGTTATTCATTTACATGTGATGCTGAAAATTGAACCCAGTGCCTCACACATGATAGGCAAGTTCTGTACCACTGAGCTACAACTCCAGCCCCTAATGGGTAGTTTTAAAACATTCTTTTCCTCAGAAAAAAAAATGTTGAACTGTCACTATTATTAAAATATATATGAACTTTTAATTTCTAGATATCCAAATAAGAAAGATATGTCCATGCTTAGGTGAACTTGCCGAAATATTTATTCAAAAGTACATTTGATTATATTACAGTTTGATTGGCTATGAGATATATTGTTTTGATTTTTGAAGAACCTGTACTTTTTAAACACGTATAGAATGGAGGAAGGGCCTTACAAACTGAGGAAATAGAATTAGTCAAAGCCCAAAAGCTTGACACGGTGGGGCCTGTTTGGCAAGAAGCTCTTCACAGTCATTTCTCCATAGGAGGATCCCTTGATCAAGTGTATTTGAGAAATGGCAAAGATTCTTACTACATATTATTGTTTTAGTAGTTCTAAAACTCCTAAAGAAGCCCACTTTATTTAGTTCAACCTGGTATTTTTTTTCAGATACTTGTTGTTTAGTTGTAAGGTGGACACAATATCTTCATTTCATCTTTATGTGGTGCTGAGGTTTAAACCCAGTGCCTCACATGTGCGAGGCGAGCACTCTGACACTGAACCACAACCTTAGCCCCTCAAYCTGGTATTTCTGAAGCACATTTATTGGTATAGATTCATTTGGGGAAGCAGAACTCTTGTTGATATTTTGCATGATATTAAATTACTGTTCAGTCATCACGGTAAGGAGTGAGATTTTTGTAGAACATAGCCATGAAGGTTTTTGAGGAGAGGCCTAACATGTTCCCATCGGTTTTTGAGGCAGAATAACTTTTATGAAAGTATGAAGAGTAAATTTAGAARCAATATCAGAAAGACTGGGAGTTTATTACTGTAGTCCAAGGAAATGAGGTCAAAGCCTCAAATGTTAGGAGTGAAAACAAAATAAGAACAACACAGGAAGACCGCTGAGGAGGAACCCAGGGGACAGTTGCAAAGCTCCTGCTGCTGCCCTGGGCGACTAAGGAACAGTAATCAGACATTTGTTTATTTGTATTTATGTTTTGTCAGCAGGGGGAAGCTGAGGAGTTAAGACTTAGATTTTAGGCCTAGTAGTTCCTGAGTATTCAGGTTGGGATCTTAGGTGAGTGTCCAGAATGGAAGTTAATACTTGAAAGTGATCTGCACAGAGATTGTATATAGCTTATACCTATAGCTATGGAAAAATAAGGTGAGATCTGGGAGAGTAGAAGGAGAAGGGGAAAGAGATGAGGAACGGAGGGGAGAGAAGGAAAGGGAAGGAAAACAGGAACAAAGTCCTATATAATAACTACACTGAAGAGTAAATAGACAAGGGTCCCACAGAGAAACTCTGGCATAGTCAGAACAAAAACAAAAGAGGGAAGAGAGTTTTAGGAAAGAGAGAATATGATCAGCTACATAAAACAACCATTGGAGTTAGAACTGAAAAGGAGCTTTCAGATTAAAAATCATGCTCAGGGCAAATTATGTCCCCAGTTCTACATACAGTGTTGTCAGTTGTTGATGATCTGATGCTGGAAACATGAAACGAATTCCTGGAGCATAATTCAATTAGATCTGCATGTTTTATATATATACATATAACAAGTACTAAATGCATTTGATTCAGGAATGTATGGAATGACTTGCTTACTTATAGATTTAGTTTAGCATTCCTCAGAGTTCCCTAGGCTCATTAGGAAATAAATACTTTAAAAGATAAAAATAACAATCTCTAACATTGGTTCCTTGTATTTTTAGAAAAGGTACTATAATAATCAAGCACTCCGCCCAGACATTCTCCATCACAGAATAAGGTCAAATAAAGGAGCAATTCACATGCCATTCCATCTACAGCTGAATTTACAATTGACCTATAGGCCAGATTCAGCCAAACATGGTGTTTTGTTTGATCCATGTCATTCTAATWTTTTTGACCCAATATAAAAGTTTAGAGACAGCCCATAAAAACCCAGAATTTCTAGAAAAATTTAGCAACAGAATACCTGAAATCTAGATTGCACTGCTCCATTGGAGCTGAGCAATGACTGCCCTTTTGAACATAAGTGCAGATTGTCTAGCATTCACAGTTTCTGCTTGATCTTGTCTCTCATATGTATTTGAGTATCAAAACTATAAAATTTACTGATTGTAAATTATGGTGTTTAAAAATAAAAATTTACATTATTCTTTTAAACTGATATAAAGGCATCTTAGTATCTTAGCAATTTGATACCTAATGTTTTTTTTTATTTCTTGAATGTATGAACAGGCTTTTCTTTTACATTTGGATGGATGGATGACTTCCTRGAAAGAGGACCAAATAGGTCTTTCAGTCGTCAAGTTTTGATAACATTTCCTGTGCCCTTTCAATTACTCTATTTTTTATTTTTTCAATAAATAATGTTTAGATATTTGAGCACATATTAAAAGACTTAYATGAGCCAGATGTAGTGGCACACACCTGTAATTCCAGCAACTCAGGTAGCTGAGGCAGGAGGATCAAGAGTTCAAAGCCAGCCTCAGCAACTTAGTGATGCCCTAAGTAATTAACCAAGACCCTGTCTCAAATTAAAAAATAAAAAGGACTGGGGGTGTGGCTCAGTGGTTAAGCACCCTGGATTTAATCTCCTGTATAAATAAATAAATAAATAAATAAATAAATAAATAAATAAATAAATTCAGTGATTAGAATACCTTTACTGGGTATACTAGAGAGAATTTAATGTCATTTTAGCTAAGACAATCTCTTTCTAATTACATTAAACTGAGAAAGATTAGACCTCTAAGAGGGAAAGAAAGCTCAGATAATCCGTTTCCAAACAGGAAAACACTATCACTTCTTTTTAAGCACTTAGAAATGTGCCTTTATCTTCACCTCTAACAACCAAATTCAAAAATGAGAAAGACAATATTTTTGAGACCACAATGTTGGTGTACAGTTTTTGTTGCAAATTTCAAAGTAACAGTAAAACAAGTATATTAGTTTAAAATAGGAAGTCCTGACTCCAAAGCCAATCTGTTTTCCATCTGAATTTTTAATACTTATTTTTTAGTAGTCATTGAACACAATACCTTTATTTCACTTATTTATTTTTATGTGGTGTTGAGGATTGAACCCGAGGTGATGCACATRTGAGGCGAGCGCTCTACTGCTGAGCTACAACCCCAGCCTCCCCATCTGAATTTTAACCATACTGAATTTTGCTTAAAACCAGAAAACCACTATTGTCATTTTCTAGTTCATAAAGTGTTTTTCTATGAGAAATCCACATTTTACTCTAAAAAGAATACGTACCTCCATTAGTTGGTCTTGAAGGGCACCAGCCTTTCTATAGGCAAGTGAGACTATCAGTTCTAAAATAGTGGTGTCTTGGATATTATTGTTTGTTTGTTTTTAAATAGAACTATCTGATGTATCATCAGTGCCCCCAACCAAGCCTTTAGGAGAATGGGAACAGTTACTCTTGGACAGCCTTCATTTTAGGGAAGAAAAAGCATCAGGCTAAATAGAAGAGAGACTCAGTCTACACTGAGGGTGAGGGTAGAGGGGAAGGGAATGTACTATATTTACATTCCTAACAAGAATTGTCTTGAGTACTGACACTTTCATGTAGATCCAAAAGCTGACAAGATCCTAGAAAATATCAAGTTTGGAGCATATTTGGCATAGAAACGCCTCTCTTCACAGACAGCTTCCCCCAGAGCTACTAGCCTGATTCCCCATCATCCCCAATGCCTTAGCTTCCAGTTTTACCTCAGGCCAAGGACTCAAATGTCTTAGTAAACATTTCCCTCCTGGAAACCCAGATACGACTTCTTCTTCAGTTAGAAGGAAATGAATGGCAAGTCTCTGAACACAAGTGAAAACATTCAGAATTAAGACCCAAAACAAACTCCTCAAGGTTCTCTGTGAGAGATCACACATCAAACCACTGTTGCTTGTTAAAACTCCAAGAACTTCTGCAGTGTCGTGTATCAGAGTTAGTTGGAAATGAAAGGGAAAAATTCAAGTTTGGAAAGATTTTGACATTTTTTCCTCAGAAAAAAGAATGAAGGAATGAATATGACCTTCTTGTCCCTTTCACACTGGGAAACTGCTAAAAATTAAGAATGGGCCACAAAGTCAGAGAACCCTGTGTTGAAATCCCAGTTCTGCAGTCTATTAACTGTGTGACTTCAGCAAGGGACTCAGCCTTTCAGTTTCCTCATTTATCAAATGAGGATTATTATAATTAGTTTGTTGGTTTTTATGGGGCTTGGAAATCATCTATGCAAAACACCTAGGACAGTGTCTGGCAGAGTTAAGATTCAGTATATGTTATAAATTATTTCTTGGGTTCAATTTGTTGTTATATATAATAATAATTTTAAAAGTTCACAATGTATTCCACAACACCTGCTTGTTCCTGTGCCATGACATTCGGTGGCACGGGATTAGAAAGAATTTAAATATGTGCCAAGCAATTTGAAATTTATTCTGTAGACAAAGAGGAACACTTTAAACTTCATGATGAAGGAATTGACATATCAGAGCTGTCCTCAGAAGAGGCAATATGGTGTAGAAGAAAACACCTTCCATTTAGGATCACAAGGCTGGTAGATACCTCCCTTCTGTGACTTCCCTGTGGTCTGATGTGGGCACTTCAGTGGACATCTCTGATTTTCACTCAGTTTCTGCATCTGTAAAATAGGACTAATAATCACCCCCTTTTGTTGTTGTTGTTGTTGTTTTGTGGTACTGGGGATTGAACCCAGGGCCTTGTGCATGTGAGGCAAGCACTCTACCAATCAAGCTATATCCCCAGTCCAATAATCACCCTTTTCCTAACTGAATCGTGTTTCAACATTAAGAAAAGGAGAAGTTCAAGATTAATGTAAATTATTGCATGAATTCCTTCAAAGTTGCCTCCTCTGTCCACCAAAGGGAAGAGTTGCTGTTATCACAATAGCTGGGTTTTTCTCAAAATTTTGGTTTAAAAGATAAATACCAAAGTACCTTTAGAGAAAATCATAATACTTACTGCCAAGTATCATTTGAGACCACTCAGTGAATGACAAAGATATGAGAGACCTAGTTTGTGTTCCCAGTTCCGCTTAGTCATTCTTATGTGTAATATGTGCCCTTTCTGAGTCTCCGTGATGGATTAATATTTGGATATTGTGTGTTTATTTTAACTAGGAAGACATTAGGAAGGAGGACAAGGTAGGTCATTTAGATGTAATAACTCAAGGGGAGGCTAGAATGTTCTTCCATCTCTCAGGGCCCTTGGCTACTCAACAAGTTCAGTGCACTCAGTACTCTGAACTTTTCTTTCTAGGGCGCTTTGTCCCTTGGTCACCAAAGGCTTTATTACAGCATTCCTTATGGGATTTAAAGTAGGCAGACTCTGAGATCACTGTGGATTGGTACCTGTTAAATCATTAAGACTGCTCTTCTTTGGTGCTGAGTGTGGGCTCCTCCCTGGATCTTTCTAGCTGGTCCCATGTTGGGCAGTTCTGTTTCTAAGCCCTTGAGCTCGTTCTTGCCCAGTTAAAGATGCTATGGATCTCACGGTCTCGGTCACCTCCTCCTTGTAGGATGGCCACTATCTTACCAATTCCCTGAAGTTCTTTCAAGTTGAACAGTCCTCCTATATCGCTGGCAGAGAAGCATGGCCATTTATCTTTTGAGAACAGGCTTTCCTTCAGAAGCCAGGCAAATGCCATGCATGATTCAGGAAAGCTGGGAGAGCACCAAGGGTCAGAAAGGTCCTGTTGGCTCTGAAGCCGGGCTTAAGACAGGCGCTGCCGTGCTGAGACAGCAGGAGGAGATGCAAGAGAAAGCAGAAGAGCTCTGGAAAGAGTCAGCAGATCAGGGGATGAGATGGGCAAGTTATGTGACATTGAAGCAAAGGAAGGAAGTGAAATTTCAACAGCAGCCTTTAACAGAGAGGGTGTGAAGGACAGAGGCCCAGGAGAGGGAGGGCTTGGCCAGAAGGAGCACCAGTGTGTTTGCACTTCCTTCTCCACATAGGTTACGCTGAGGCAAATTCACCATCTTTTCATTGCTGCCAACTCTGTAGAATTGTCCCTCCTCTGTCTCAGACTATCATAGGCTGAGAAAGATGTCTCAGCTACCCAGGAAACTGGGGTTTCATTTTCTCCTTTTTTGCGGAGTCTAGTGCCAAGCAGAGGGGGAGGAGCTGTGAGCTCTGGTGATTCACACAAGCATACCCCGTGACCACATCCCCACGGTGTGTGTGTGTGTGTGTGTGTGTGTGTGTGTGTGTGTGGTGTGTGTATGAGAGAAAGAGAGAGAGAGAGAGAGAGAGAGAGAGAGAGAGAGAGAGAGAGAGAGAGAGAGAGAGAGAGAGAGAGAGAGAGAGAGAGAGAGAGAGAACAAGTATATGAGCATTCATATTGTTCTAGGTATTACAGAAAAAAAAAGAACAGGTGTTAGTCTGGCATAGTTTTAGAATTTATTATTCTGAATTGTGAAAAAAAAAAAAAGTAGTATTGGAGTGTCCTGAAAACAGATATCAGGTACTGTCTGTAGTTAACAGAAGCTGGCTTCATAGAATCCCTGTGTGGATCTGTTTCAGCACAGCTAGACAATTACCTATATCTTGGAATCAGCTCTGATCATTCAGAGCCAGTGTCTTTGGTGCCTATTTTTCTTTGCAGATCACTGACCAACACTGAGTATCAACTTATGGAGCTGCTGGGCTCAGTGGGAGTTGTGAGGTTGGAGGGTTTATGTTTTCTAACAACAAACCCTGCTCACCTGCTGAAAAAAAAATCTCATAAACCTCCAGATTTTTTATTTTGATACGACCTTAATTGAGAAACACTGTTCTTGGTAGTAAGTTCCACCTGTCTACCATGCAGAAACAAACAAAAATAAACAGACAACAATGAAGACCACAAATTTGTGTCTTTAGAGATTAATTCTGGTTTGAAAGTTACCAAAGTCAATGTCGATATACTTCCATAACTGATAGGGATTAATATCTATTTTAAATGTATAGTTCTTTTTTAAAAAATTAATATAGAAATAAACATGTTTTGGCTTAATATAACTCAAGAACTCACTGCACTGTTTTCATGTTTATTCTTTTGTCATTGCAGGTGCTGGTCTCAGTATCAGTGATAATGAATCTGGTCAAGGCAGCCAGGAGGGAGGCACCTTGACTGACTCCCAGATTGTAGAACTCAGGAGGATACCCATCGCCGACACCCACCTCTAAGGCCTCACTAACTGTTCAAATGAGGATACTTTCACATTTGTCTTGGTTTTGTACTAAGCCTCTAAGTACATGCAGCTGTGAAATAGGAATCCATGAGTTGTACTGATTAACACAGAAGTGATTGTTATATTTGGAATATAAATGACTTATATGTCTGCAACCTGAAAATACACTGCTATATAAATACCCATTTAAATAGGTTAATAGGATATACATATTACAAGAATATTAGTTGACTTTTAATCATTTTACTTGGCTAACATTGTTTAATGGAAGTAATAACCAATAAAAACACTGCAGGATTCATTTGGCATCATGCAGGCTCATTATTTGAGGAAATGTGTGTGAGCAAAAAAGCAAAGTGTATCTAGATGGCGTCAAATATCTGTGTTCTTCTAGCACTGATTCAATGACCTGGATCAAAGCTTCACTGCATCTAGGAGACTTAATTCCTGAGATCCATTAAATTATGTTGTGCTGAGGGTTCTGCACCTAAGTGCTGACAGGGATACTGCAGTTAACATAGTCTTTCACCAACAGTATATATTTCTGCTCATCATAAAATTAGGGATCTGAACTCTTTCCAGAATGAATGTCTTGTCCCCAGATAAAAATAACTCCACCAAGCCTTTCACACAGCTGAGAAGTAGATCATTCAAACAATACAGAGTTTGTTTTGGAAAAAAATAAATTCTTGTTTTGGATTTTTAGTCTTTCTTTGTCTTGGAATGAGAAATCAGAAAGTACAGCCCAGAACAAACCCTGATGTGTTAGAGGTGATTTCATTGACTGTTGTTCCAGGAGAATCATTAGGAACAGAAAAAGATTGTGCTGAAGAAGGCTTTGACCTTTTATTTTTTAATTCCTAAGTCTTTTTGAGAAAACCAGTGGCATCTCAGGAAATTTTTTTTTTAAATCTGGGAGAATATTTTATTGTTAATAACTTCCCTTAAAGTCACAATTAAAAATATCCAAGTGCCCTATCCTTGTGTGGCTTGCTCCCTCCTCCTCCTCCTCCTCCTCCTCCTCCTCCTCCTCCTCCTCCTCCTTCTTCTTCTTCTTCTTCCTCTCTCTCTCTCTCTCTCTCTCTCTCTCTCTCTCTCTCTCTCTCTCTCTCTCTCTCTCCCCTGAAGTGGCTTCATTTATCTTGATGAGATGTCAAATAAATCTCTCCTCTTCCTGTGAGGACTCGCCCTAATCTGTCTCCTCTCTGCTATATTGAGTTTTGGTTACTAAATGGTCCTCATAAATAGCAAGCAAAGGCTGCCCAACAATGTCAAACAGCATAAAAACCAAGACTGTATCTTTGGAGCACTCAATTGTTTTAGGAGCTTTTGGAATTATGGTAATAAGATTGAATTCACCTTAAGGGAATTAACCTACAATGTTGCACTGTAGTCCATTTAAGTTAGAACTGATTCTCCTACTTGTACCCACCCTAACTTAAAATGTCACTTTCCATTTAGTGTGTCTTTGAAATCGGTAAGCATTTGAAAATTGTTAGTGGATTTTTATTGCATGATGATGATTACAGAAATACGAATGTTCACTGTGTGGAATACTCTAGTCATATTCACTAGTAACATACTTAGCAGATATCTAGCCACTCAACTGTCTGACAAAGGTAATTGTTGACAAATGGTGCTTGTTTCTACATGGTTTCAGAATCTGGGAAACCCTAGCCAAAAAAAAAAAAAAACATGACAAACAGGGATACTTTTCTTTCTTTAGTTTACTGGATTTCTATTGCTGTCTGTATTGCCATCTTGATAAGGAATCACAAGGACTACCTGCCACTGTTCTTTTAAATATTGGAAGGAAAACCTTAGTACTGTGGCTTCTAGGGCTGGTGATGTGACTCAGTGGTACAGTGCTTGCCTAGTATGTACAAATCCCTGGGTTCAATCCTTGGTCTGCAAAAACAAAGTTCATAAGCCAACAGCAGCAGTAGTTCCCTTCCTGTTTCCTCCCAGTGTAGACTAAAATGAGACACTTGCTTTTTCAGGAGGAAGAAGCAAATCAAATCAAATTCTCAAGAATGAGATTGGAACACTCAGATATCACCTGTGACCTTTCTCATTCAGTTAGGCTGCAATCTCTTTTTATCCAAAACATTTCTTTAACAGCTTTATTAAGATATAATTCTTATTTTACAAAACTTACTCACTTAAAGTGTACAATTCAAGGTTATTTAGGATATTACATAATTAGGGTTCTTTAAATTTTATGCTAAATCATCTTTATTCTAGTAGCTAAATTAGAGAGTATTGTTTTTCTTGATCTTTTAGAGATTGCTACAGATATTTTTCTTAGGAAAAAAATTCAAATAGATAGTGATTATTGAATCAATCAGATTTTATACCATCTTCATGTTACCAAACAGCTTTCATTTTCAAGCTATAATTCATTGAGTTTTTTTCTGTAATTCATTCTGCTCAAGACCTATAACCAACATTATTGCATTTGACAATAACCTATCTTATTAGGTCATTTTATGTTGCTATAATAAAATACTCAAGGCTGGGTACCTTATAAACTGAAGAGGTTTATTTAGTTTGTAGTTTTAGATGCTGAAAGTTCAAGATAGGGCAGCTCCATCTGTTCAGCCTCCCATGAGGGCCTCCTGGGCTATATCACATGATGGATAGCATTATGGCAGACAGCATGGTAAGACAGGAATCCAGAGAGTGGCTTTCTCTTTTGTAACAGCCTGCTCTTAAGGGAACTCACTCAATGAGACTAGCATTAACCCCGAGGGCGGCACCCCCAATGCCCTAACCACCTCCCACTAGTTCCCACCTTTTAATAGTTCAATCACTTCAATGAGGACCATTCCTCCAACACTTGATCCTTTGCAGGACAAACCACATCACCATAGCACCTAGATGACAAGATGAAGATGGACTCGTTTGTTAAGGATTATTTGCGGGGGAGGGGGCAAACTGAGAGCAAATTCCTCATTTCTCTACTATTTCATGACCTGTTAGTCATGAAACAGTTACTATTTCACCTGTCAGGTTTTGTGTGGAAAATTACATATGCATGAATATTTTGCAACCAAATGATTATAATCTACAAGCTCTCCTACTTATCTGGTTCCACAGTAGGAAGTTAGAGAAGCGTGTGTTTGTCATTTCATGGTTGATTTATTATGCCTCTGCTAAGTACATTTGAAATAATAGGCTGCACTATAACATTCAACCCTTGATAACAGGTGATTTCTAATCACAGTGAACCAGGGGAAGACTGTACTCTGAAAGTAAGGAAGCTATGTCCATCAGATGGTTAGTGCCCAAGTTCCAGAGAAACATACTGTCCTCTTTCATAACTGAGCAATGCCTCTATTACATWCTGTTAGGACCTAATTATTGATAAAATCAAGACCTTTCCATATCTAGCCACATTTAATTTCTCAAGACAGTCCAAAAGATCATGAGTCAAAAGTCTTTGCTTCTTGCCAATCACCTAAGATAAAAACTAAACTGGAGAGTTGACCTCCTTTCTAGTAAAGGAAAACAGTGACAAAAATACTTGGAAAAGCAACTAATTTACTTTCTGATACCTTATAATCCCTCTCCTCCCTTGCCCCCAGCAACTAATTTTTTAAAGAATAAATATTATAAAGCCAACAAAATAATGTTTTAATAAAATGCTCAAAAATCATGATTTGACAATGTGGATTCTTCAGCAAATATGACAGAACAACCCACTGGGAGGATGAACAAAAAGATGAATAGATTTTATTTGAATTTACCTTTGGTCCAGGGATCCAAATGTGGTATAACTGGAAGAGACAGACTATTTTTAGACATATAAAGCATTTTTTCTTAATCTGACAAAATTTCCCTTGAAAGACTTCTCACCTCAGTGCTGGGATGCAAGTGAGTAGAAGTGGCGATGCAGCTACTGCAAACATCACAGCTCAAGAGGCTGATAGCCAAGTACAAGCAACTAACTCTGAATTCTTCAGAAGGAATTGTGTCAGGCCCCATAAGTGAAGAGAATTTTTTTGAATAGGAGGCATGGATCATGGGTCCCCAAAATACCAGTTTTGAGTTTGGTGAGTCCTCAGAAGATGAAGTGCACTTGTGAGATGTTTCATCACAACATCTACCCAAATGGCAGAGACTTCATCTCCATCCTCCACAGGCCAGGCAATGACCCCACTGGACTTACAAGAGCAGATTTAAGAAGTGAAACCTGGTGTGGAGTGTGGAGAAGATCCTTCTGTCACTGTCGGTGGTGATGACAGAAGTGGAGTTAAGCATGGATGCTTCCAAAGTGTGGTGGGACCAACAGGAGCAGTTTTACAAGATTGCCCAGCAGATTGTGCAGAAGTCTCTGGGGATCTGAGACGGCGAGAGAGCATGGTGCAGTTCCAGTGCTGCTCTTGGGACACTCAGTGACAGTGCTGCCAGTGCTGCCACCAAAACAGGCAAGCTTGCACAACCATGACACTCGTTTTGTGTTTTACAAGTAGAGATTATTCTTACAGCCTAGGTACAGCCTATCCATTTATTGTGCATCACAATCACACTTAGAAACACTTTTGGGAACACTTTGTAAATGGTTGATGAGAAATGGGAACCCAGAACAGAAGGTTATTGCCAGCCATGAAGACCATTGGCTTCTCTGGTTGCATTTTTAGGAGATGAGTGTTCATGTCATGATTGTTGGTACACTGCTAGAGCAGGCACGGGAAGATCTTTGAAGTTTTAGTGACTTTTTCTCCTGAGTCCATAACAAGTTTTTCTTTTTCCAGCTAAAAGTTGGGTCACTCTGGGGCTCTGCACTGTACACTGTGGTTGCACCAGGACCATTCTTTGCTCTTGAAGTCAGAAGGGACTCTACCATTAGTTGGCGCAGAGTGCAGAGGTGTGCCTTTCCCCAAAAAATGGGCCTGGCTAGGGACCTGGACTTCAGCTTCAGGCCCCAAGTAGAGGGAGCACTTTTTTACAGCCTATTATTTTGGTGCTGTCTAGGTGTCTCTGATAGCAGAGAGAGGTGAGCAGCACAGTACCCCTAGCAGACACCATAAGAAACAATAGGTCTGTTGTATGGGGAAGCAGATGGCCTGCCTGTTTCAAACAGGTTACTTTTCAATAGGAGATTCTGTTTTTAAAATAAGAGATGGCCTATGCAACATGCAATAGATTTCATTTCACATTAGCCTCTTTCCTTCTCTTTTCGAATATGTCCAGTAGACATTTGTCTTGTACCAAAATCTCACATTTTGTGGTGTTAACAATTCTGGTTCAGGGGCTCAGTATTGAGCTTCTGTGGAGGCCAG